GCAACTTTTGCTCGCCTATTTTTGTCTCTGCCTCTCGTTCTCTCTCTCTTGTGTCTCCTGTTGCCTCATCGCCACCACCACCACAACTCGGTTGGCTGCCAAGGTTCTCTCCGGTGGTGTACNTTTGCCGCTGTCTCTGCCTCAGTTGTCTGTGGTGATTTGCATCCGTTTGCTGCAACTTTTGCTCGCCTATTTTTGTCTCTGCCTCTCGTTCTCTCTCTCTTGTGTCTCCTGTTGCCTCATCGCCACCACCACCACAACTCGGTTGGCTGCCAAGGTTCTCTCCGGTGGTGTACTACTGCTAGCCCTCCAACTTCTGCAACCAACGAACCAACTTCAACAACTTCTGTGGTGTTTTTCCTCACGCCAAAAGAGAAGATCGGCGTGCACTGAAGAAGAAGAAACCCGAAAGAAGAAGAGTGATTGCCCATTCTTGCAACAACAGCAGCAGCAGCAGCATCGTCCTCCCCCGGTGTTGTTGACGTTGCTATTTTTTCTCTTCTCCTACCGAATCCTCGAGAGAAGTAGAAACGGTTTTCAAAACGAGAAGAGAAGAGCATTTGTAGTTGTTCCTCAAACCCTGTCGTTACCTGTAGCTGATCTGTTCTGATCTGTACACTCTTCTGTTTCTCACCACAATGTTTACCAATCGTAAGTCAAATCCTCGATTCTAGAAACCCTTGTTCTAAATCACTATTTTCTCCATTTCCAGGCAGCATCTTCGCGACCCTGCCGCGAACGCAGCGCGGCGTCCCGCTCGTCCTTGGCGGCGACCCAAAGGGCAAGACCTTCCTCTACCCGAACGGCAACAGCATCATCATCCGCGACATCGACAACCCCGCCCTCTCCGACATCTACACGGAGCACTCGACGCTGACCACCGTGGCGAAGTACTCTCCGAGCGGCTTCTACATCTGCTCCGCCGACCAGGGCGGTCGCATTCGCATCTGGGACACCACGCAGAAGGAGCACATCCTCAAGGCGGAGTACCAGCCCTTTGCCGGGAACATCAAGGACCTCGCCTGGTCGGCGGACAGCCAGCGCATCGTGGTGGTCGGAGAGGGCCGCGAGCGCTTCGGCCACGTCATCATGATGGAGACCGGCACCTCGGTGGGCGAGATCGCCGGCCACTCGAAGACGATCAACAGCGTCGACTTTCGCCCCTGTCGGCCGTTTCGCATTGTGACCGGCTCGGAGGACAACTTCGTACAGCTGTACGAGGGCCCGCCCTTCAAGTTCAAGACCCAGCTCGATGACCACAGTCGCTTTGTGCAGTCGGTGCGCTACTCGCCGGATGGGGCGCTCTTTGCCACCGCCGGCTTTGACGGGAAGATGTTCCTCTACAATGCAAACGACTACTCAAAGGTGGGCGAGTTTGGCGAGGGCGGCAAGGCGAATGCCCACGGCGGCGGCATCTACGCCGTGGCCTGGTCTCCGGATGGAAAGCAGTTGCTCAGCGCCTCGGGCGACAAGACCTGCAAGGTCTGGGACGTGGAGACGCGCAAGAGTGTTGTGTAAGTGTTTTGAGGGGTTTTGACTTCTATTTACCCGTTTCTAATTTCTATTTCTATTTCCACCCACCCACCCCTCTTTAGGGACTTTCCCATGGGCGGCGACGTGCTGGACCAGCAGGTGAGCTGCCTGTGGCAGGGCAGCCACCTCCTCTCCGTCTCCCTCAGCGGCTTCATCAACTACCTCGACCTGGCAGGGGACCCGAGCAAGCCGCTGCGCGTCGTCAAGGGCCACAACCGAACGATCACGGCGCTGGCCGTCAACACCGCCTCCGAGGAGAAGCGCCTCTACACGGGCAGCTGCGACGGCTACCTGACCAGCTGGAACCCGGCCACCGGGGAGCACGACCGGGTGGTGGGCAACGGCGGGAAGCTGCAGGGCCACGCCAATCAGATCAGCGGCCTCGTCTTTGACGGCACCTCGAAGCTGTACAGCGTCGGCTTTGACGACTTTGCGCGCACCATTGACACTGCCGAAGGAGGAGCGGGAGCCTTCGCCTCTGGCGGCGAGTTCAAGCTGGACCAGCAGCCCAAGGCGGTGGCGCTCACAAATGACGGTCAGGTGCTGGCGGTGGCCGCCCACGCCGCCGTGGAGATGCGCCGCGTCCGCGACGGCGGCCTCATCTGCTCCCTGCCCGCCCCCTTTGAACCGTCCAGCATCAGCGTCAACTGGGCGAACAACGACGTGGCCGTGGGCGGCGGCCGGGACGCCAAGGTGCACGTCTACGGGTGGGACGGCGTCAAGCTGGCCGAAAAGAGCGTGGCGTCCAATCACCGCGAGGGCGTCACCGATGTGGCCTACTCTCCGGATGGAAAGCTGCTCGCGGCCGCCGATCAGAACCGCAAGATTGTCCTCTACAGTGCCGAGGGCTACCAGGTAGGAGAAGGAGAAATAGAGCGTTGAAGACTGTTTTTACCCTTTCTCTTTTTCCCCCCTTTTACAGCCCGCCCACGACCTGGAGTGGGGCTACCANGGGACGGCGTCAAGCTGGCCGAAAAGAGCGTGGCGTCCAATCACCGCGAGGGCGTCACCGATGTGGCCTACTCTCCGGATGGAAAGCTCCTGGCGGCTGCCGATCAGAACCGCAAGATTGTCCTCTACAGCGCGGAGGGCTACCAGGTAAGAGAAATAGAATGTCGAAAAAAAGTTTTTATCTTTTTTTCCCTCTACAGCCCGCCCACGACCTGGAGTGGGGCTACCACTCGGCCCGCGTCAACTGCCTCGCCTGGGCCCCCGACTCAAAGTGGCTCGCCTCGGGCAGCCTCGACACCGGCATCATCGTCTGGGACGTGGAGCACCCGCTGAAGCACTACAACCTCAAGAGTGAGTGTTGTGTTTTGGCTTGTTTTTGCTGGAACTGTGTTATCTAAACCGTTTGTTTACCTTTTTCTCTCCCCACAGAGGCCCACCCGCAGAGTCAGGTGACGCGCATCGCCTGGCTGGACGGCAACACCATCGTCTCCACCGGCCACGATGGCAGCATCAAGGTGTGGGAGTTTAAGGTCTGAGAAAAGAAGAGAGAGAGCCACCTGAACCACCACCACCCGAATCATCGCCTTTTCCTCTGCCTTCTCCTCCCGCTTCGATCTCCCATCTCTTTGTGGTATTCTCCCTCTCCCTCCCGTTTTTTCTCTAACAACAACAAGTGGACAAGTATTGGATACAAAGAAGTTGTCTCCTAAGCCACCGAAGACGTCTACGCCTGCAAAAGCCTGAAGAAGACAGGCACTTATTATTCATCCGCCAGCTTTACCAGCGCGCTGCAGTGCATCT